TTACCATGAGGATGATCGCACGCTACGGGACCAACCCCACGAGCGCCTGTACTGTACATCATGAGCGACGCGAGCGGTAAACAAAATAGAAAGAAAATTAGTATTACTGCTCCGGACAATTTCACCGGAAACAAAGGTACCGATCTGGTGGGTCTGTTATCGATAAAAACGTTTCACCCCACGCGCCAACTTAACACGCTCTGGGTACTAAAGGCCCTAGAGAGGCGATTGTTCTACACGCAAACTGATATGTAGTGGGACAAAGACCGTCTCGATAATAGGAATTGGAAAAATAGAACAAAGAGGGGACGTACACAAGGGCGGAATTATAAATGGCGGCGAGTTCTAGGTTGCCCGCCACGTTATACTAGCTGTAAAAGTAAATTTAAAAAGATTAAAAATATTTAACACCGAACAGTTTCAAATGGGGTTAAAAAAAAAAAAAAAATGGAGGTGTTGAACAATTGTATAATTACTTTAACACCCTTGACCAATCCGTATAATTATACAAAAGTGAACGGCTAGTCAGAAGGTCAGTTAAGGAGGTCAGTGTAAAAGGAAAAATTGACGGAGATTAATTATGGAAAATACCTTTTATAATTGGTCAAAGTACTTGAGGGTGCTAAAGAGAGCTTTCATATTTGACCGACTTATTTAAACTGGGTCGAGCATCCTGTGCCTCACGTGACCGGTAGGGGGAGGAATCGACCGGTGAGTCATCAACCCCCTGATGTTTCTCAGATGACGTGTCAAAAACTGAGGGGTCATTAACATCGCCGGGCATTTGGCCGGTGAACAAGTAACGGCCCTGTAGTGCTGAGCTACTAACGTTATGAAGCAGGTCCTACTTAGGAAGATACTTTAGGAGTAAAAAAATGCAAATTGGGTATTTAAAAGATAGCGGTAATAAATGGGTATTTAAAAAACAATAACACTAAATGGCTGCGAATTTCGGGGTTTCCAATTTCGGCTGTTGGATCCTATAAAACGGCGATTTCAGTATTAAGGTCTCCACCGCAACAACTTGGACTCACTCTGCCTCTCTCTTAATTCTCTCTCTTCACAGTCCGTTCCAGGTCTCTATTCCCTCCACTGTGTGTCCTACCTCAAAATTTTCCAGGGAAAAGGAAAGGGAAAATTGCGAGAAAATCCCGAGAAAACTGTCGGATTGAAGCAACTTGTAGGTTCGGTGGATTCAGCTAGCTCATCCGGAAAGCTCTCTGTGAATCGGTTTCTGGCTCCCTTTTTAGGCCGAGAGGCTCACTTTTGTAAAAGATCTCGCCCATATTCCCAATTAAAACCTTTGAATCGCATCTTTTAACGTTTCTTTTTCATTTTTGTCAGAATTTCTGAAACCGCCTGTCTTCGATTTCTCTGCGTTTGAAGCTTCTCTTTGACGATTCCTTTCACTTTTCTCCTCTCTCCCTCTTTATTCTGCCTCGTGTCGAGTCTCTCAAAGCAATCATCCTTTACCTTCACGCCCTCACTCCCTCTTTTGAACCCCTTTTTATGGTTTTCAATGCGAATAGCGAGAATCTAATAAGCAGCGGTTTCATAGAAATGGATTACAGTATGAGTATGCTTCGGCCGATCAAATACACCGAGCACCGAAGTGTCACCAAGAAGCACACCAAGCCATTAACCGCAAAACCCAAAAAGATTTCCGACGGAAAAAGGTTGCCGGAGTACAGTTCAGGCGTGCCCCGGGTCGTCCGGGTCTCGTTACACCGACCCGGATGCCACGGACTCGTCGAGCGACGAGGAGGACGTGCTCTTCGGTCGACAACGCGTGAAGAGGTACGTGAGCGAGATTAGCATCGAACCTGGTTGCAAGGCCCACACGTTTAATGCCCCGAAGAAGAAGGCACCTGGACCCGGAGAGGCACTCCAGGCGAATAGGAAGCAGATGAAGGCGGCCAATACGGGCACTGGCAGAAAATTCCGGGGCGTACGGCAGAGGCCGTGGGGCAAATGGGCTGCGGAGATCCGAGACCCGGCCCGTCGGGTCAGGGTGTGGTTGGGTACTTACGACACGGCGGAAGAAGCAGCTATGGTTTATGACAACGCGGCGATTAAGCTTCGTGGTCCCGACGCGCTGACGAACTTCATAACGCCGCCGTTGGCGAACGATGTCCCCGAGGCCAACATGACTTCAGTTTCCGGCTACGAGTCCGGGGACGAGTCTCACTCCCACAGCCTATCTTCTCCCACCTCCGTGCTGCGTTTCAGGTCTCATTCCAACGAAGAGGCTGAACCAGTACATGAAGCTACCGCAGACAAAGAAGGTTTGGAGTATCTGCCCGTTGACGAAACCGGTTCAGCAATTCTGCGAGTCTCCGCCGGTTCAGGGAATCCCAACCCGAACCCCAACCCGAGCAAGTTGAGCGCTTTGAGGAGTGCCAGGTGAAACAAGTTTATCCAATGAGAGCGTTGACTACTTGCCAACAGACATACCGTTTCCTAGACGATTTCTTCAACTTCGAGCCGCCGGAGCCGATGCTTTTCGACGACTCCCCTGCGCCGGCGTTCACTAGTGACCTGCTTGGCAAAGAAGATTTCAGTTACATGTTCATGGACTCATTGCATAACGATGGGTTCGGATCATCGTCAGAATGGCCGGTCGATGATTTCTTCCAAGATCTTGGAGGCGATTTCTTCTCCTCCGACCCTTTAATGGCTCTATAGTTAAATCTCTGATCATCAGTTCCCTGTGTCCAGTCACTCAGCACCGTCGGCTTGCCGGCTTTTGGCAGATTTTGTAACCGCGGTGGTAAAAAAGAACGGATAGTTTTTACGTTACATTCTGAGTCTTTTATTTTTTATTTGTTCAAATATCTCCTTAAAATTAACGGAGATGGAGAGTGATGTTATGTAATATTTTACATGTTTTTGTAATAAAATCGTCCTTTAAAGGGAAATTGCTTTATATTAATTTGCTTGAACATTCTTCATTTACAAAAATTAGTCACGATTAGAATGTGTTTGATAAGGTGTATGAACAGCAAGCAAGTCCTCTTAGCCCCACACGGCGGCGCAATTTCCGGTCAGGGACGGCTAATTAGGTACAAAGTCCAAGTCAAATTCTTTCTTTTCATCTTTTTCCTTTTCCTTGGTGTCAAATTAAGACTTTTCATCTCATATTTCGATATTTGCAGCCGTTCATGAAGTTCCTAGGCGTATTAATGTTGTAACAAGAGACAACTTGTTAGTGGGTTCAGCAGTTAACCCTGAATGAAATTCAATTGGTCCACTCAAGTCAATTAATGTTTACTGAAGAACTACTTATTTTTTAATTTCATTTTAACTAAATTAATTCTATTCTCGACGTAACGAAATTGTCAGTGGCATGACTTTAAGAGTAGTGGGTGCAGAATTTGTTATATAATATTTTTTTTATTTTATCTTTCATTATTATAGATTTTTTTGCCGCGTTAGTTTTTCAAAATTTTACATTTTATTCATTAGAAATTTATCGTTTATTTATAATAATTCATAATATTATTTTTATTATTTTTATTCGTTATTAATTATTTTTAATTTATTTTAAATTTATATGTGAATTCTTATTTTATTTATAGTAGTCTCTCAATGTGTACAAAATTAAAAAACTACAAGTATTTTATAAAAATTTAATAATATAAAGCTTAACAAATTTTGAGAGGGTGCAAGTACCCACCCTCCTTCATGTAAGGATGTGCATATATGGATGATGCTTCTATTGTAGCATAATGTCAAAAACTAATACAATAATAATTGACTGTAATATCCATTAAATCAATGTAAATGTTTAAAATTGCTAACCTCAAACCTTATAAATAGATTGTTCCAATCATTCTTGTTTCCAGTTAAAAGATGGGAACGTCTTTGGCAAAGTATTTCTGATAAATGAAGAGCATAAGTGTGATGATAAGTCAATGTAATGAAACGTTGTACCCAGTGCATATAACTATAACAACCTCAGTTTTCACAGCATGTGAGGTTTGTCTTTCTAATTATAACAACCAACCAACACACCTCAAAATTGGAATGTTAACCAACAAGTAGGGCTTAGGGAGTGTTTGATATGCCATATAAGGTTTAGGTTTAAAAGAATCTCATAACAATTTATTTTATTTATTTATTAACAATATTCCATATGAATGTTTAAAAAAATGAAAAAAAAAATTGAACAGAGTTTTAAAAAAACTAAGAAAATCATAGCTTAACAAACCAACTTCTGAACAACATAAAAAGTTGAAATATCAGAAATAGGAAAAGAAAAGTGGTAACCAAACAATACCTTAGCATGTGAAGTGGGTATGTAGTATGCATCAGGACTTGTTACTTAGTTATCACTCAAAGAGAGATAGTAGAAACTGCGAAACAAAAAATGTGCATATAATTATGCCCCACAAGCAAATCATAATGCTTTATTCTCAACTTAATCAGGACTTGCAACTTGCAACTGTAAATTTGATGTCACGCGCACTCCACGTGTTTGATGAAGAGAGTGAGTTTAATAATGTCCAACCTAATTTAATGAATAAATTGTTTATCATTAAATAGAAAAGACTGAGTTTAATGCCAATGATATCTCTTCAACTTGGGATAATTGAGAAAAACAGAAGGACAAGATTGTCATTTTATTCGTCTACCAATGATTAGTTCCACAACGTTGGTACATATCCTCATCTTTTAGTCCAAGACGTATTGGCAAAATACAGTAATTTTAGTGTTATATTATAGAAGTAAGAAGAGCTCAATTTTGAGAGAAATAAGATACATGTGGAAAAATTATACTACTTACATTATTTAGTTTTAAAAAAAATGAATAAAGAAAGTTTTTAATAAAATATAAGTAGTGTATTGCAAACTCTTATAAATGTATGTTTTAGAAAGAATATAATAATTTCGTTACAAGTGATATTAGATTCAATTTTGAGAGAATATTCTAATAAGTGGTGTGACCCAGGTCAAATACCTTCAAAAAAAAATAATGATATCAAGGAATAAAGAATAATAACCCCTGTGACAAAAGATAATTTTATAAAATCCTCCTCTCTAAAACATTCCAATAGCCCTAGATTTTGATTTATCCAAAATCCGAATTCCTATCTAAGTGTAAAACCCTACAATTCAAACATGCCCAAAGAGTAAAAACCAGAAACTATAATTCTAATCTTACAAAAAAAGGAAAAATACTAATTTTAGTATTATTATTCTAGTCCAAGATGTATTGGCAAAATACAGTAATTTTAGTATTATATTATGGAAGTAAGAGGAGCTCACTTTGAGAGAAATAGAATACATATGAAAATATTATACTATATTATTTAGTTTTAGAAAATTTGAATAAAAAAAATTTAATTACCATATAAGTAGTGCATTGCAAATCCCTAATAAATTTACCTTTTGAAAAAAATATAATAATTTTGTCATAAGTGATATTAAAGTCAATTCTAAAATAATATTTTAATGAGTGATGTGACCCACGTTAAATATCTTATAAAAAAAATAAACATCAAATATCGTATAATAATAATAATCTCCTGACAAAAGGTAATTTTATAAAATCCTCATCTCCAAAATATACCAATAGCCCTAGATTTGATTTATCCAAGACCCAAATTCCCATCTACAGAAGTGTAAACCTGCAATTCAAACATGCCCAAAGAGTGAAAATAATAAACTATAATTCTAATCTTACCCAAAAAAAAAGGAAAAATGTTAATTCTAAGAATCTGGTCTCGTATTAAATTTCTCCTGTTTTAAATAAATAAAAAACAGCGGTGTAATGGGTCTAAATTCTTTTAATATTTCACAATTTTCATATTTATTATTTTAAAATTTAATTCGAACAAGTAATTAAGCAAAAAAGAAAAAGCTCCGCATTACAGGCAATTTTTTGCTTGGACGGAACATGTGCGCCATGCCTCAACTTGAAAGAAAAATTTTCCCAGGGAGTACGAAAGGTCATGTTTTGTGGAGGAAAGTGAAAGCGATCGAATTGATTGAATGAAAATAATTGACCCACATGAATTACTTTCCGTTGAAAATAACTTGGGGATATTGAGAGCCGGGTCAATCATGTGAGGAAGAAATTTGCATTTTCCATTGGACTATAGTTGATGAAAAGTGAGACAGTTCACACACGCTTGAACACGCAACGTGAGTCTATCATGGGTTTGAAGCATTTTTCTTGAAGCTTAGTCAATAAAATACGGGGCAAATCGGCGCTATCTATCGGTCAAGGAACCCGGCCCTACTTCACAAAGAAAAGAGCTTGGACAGACTAACAAGGCCATTTGTCTACATCGTATCGTCGAGACTTCATTAGCCTGGCTGGGGGTGTAGGGAACACCATTTCTAGACACTTAACCGGGGAAAAAAAAAAAAAAAAGAATTAGATGGACACGTTAGTTAGTCAAGCAGGTCGTAGGTTACAGTAGTCTTTTAAGAAACTATAAAGGGGATTAGATTTGAGATTTTTTTAAGTCCTACTTTGGCGAATACTTTAAAAAATTCACAAAAAATTATGAAAAAAATTGAATATAAGATTTTCTTAACAATATAAAATGACAGTTAGGGAAAGATTTGAGCTTGTAAAACTTAAATTAATATAATATTGAGTTTTAAAAAAGATAATATTAAAACAAAATTTTAATATTGACAGAGACTTGTTTATAATTGACCACTAAAAGGTCTCACAGTTTATTTTTACCGTCTTAGGAATTAAAATTTATATGGATCAAGATTGATAAGTTAAAATGAAATATGTCTCAAAAAAAATAATTTGAACATCAATTTCTTACCCAAATTAAGTATTAGAGAAGAGTAAGTGAGATTAAAAATTATACTATACTTCCCTGTAAGATGAATTGGACAATTTTAGTATTATAATTTTTTTTTATTATATCTCCAAATATCTCCCTTTTTGAATTTATAAATTAGAAACATTAAGATAGAAATAAAGTTTGACGGGGAAAATTCCGGTGTTATGGAATGATTGGTTCCAGGGGTTGTGGCAAATCGAAAATCCGGCGATCACAGTTTGTCTCTATCAGTCGCGTGGAATGTATGACACACCATCCAGAAGATCAAAAAGCCCCCATGCTCCGCGCAGCACCCTGTCCTGTGCCTAGCCGGAACCCAGATTCTGACGAGTTCAGCCCAGTGAGTCACGGCTCGTCAGTTGGGCGTAGCCCACGAAACGCTCAGTCTGGCAATGCCCCAAAAGTGCCGGCCACGGCTAAGACACCGGGCCTGTGCCAAATCATCACGAAATGATTGTTCCATTATTTATTTTATTAGATTAGATATGCGCAACCGTGCTCATATAAAACTAAGTAATTGGTCTCTCCTCTTTCTTAAATTCTAATTTCTATTTTTGGAATCTCACTTTTTAGGGTATTGGTATAAGACAATTTT